ATGGTAACTGGTGGAGCAATTCCAGCCAGCCCTGGTGCTCCTGGTTTACCCGGTGTTCCAGGTTCTCCATCCTGGCCCTGTAATCGGACTTTGGATTGACAAGTCTTTCACGTTTTCCACGAAAAAGCTTCAAGAACAAACTGCACACTCACCTCCGTGTACCTTTTGCTCGCCCTATGCTACGTATGTAGGATCGCAGCTGCGGTAGCGTCCCACTTTCCTCGTGAAAACTCCACGGGAACTGGGCCTGAGGATAGTTGTTCCCGGATTCCGTTTTCACCCCGTTCGCACAGCAAGCCAGGCGCCTAACCATAGCCAAACACGCTGCTTGTCTGCGCTCTCTTACCTTTGTTTGTTCTCTACCTGTTGAAGTCTTTCGCTGCCAAATCTTGAGGATAGCGGGAGTGGAGTATGGAAACGGCACTAGGATATCGCAATCATACACCCCTTTCCCGTGCACTTTTGAGCGGATAAGGTGGCTAGCTACTGCAGCTGCGGACCCATTCACATCGCATATGGGAAGGAACGCCCTTGTAGATGAGTGTTACATTAAACAGTTTATCTTTAATTATCAACATTGATAACTCACAGGCTTTCCAGGTGGTCCCGGAGGTCCCGCTGGGCACTGATTGTTAGCTTGGCAATCTAGAAAAGAACCGATCAAAGCTCTATCCAACCGAAATATTTCGTAGTAGACTTACTGCAGGTTGGATTTGCTTCGACGAAGGCGTCTTGGGTCTTCATGTACGAGTTATGCAGAGCGTATGTCTTTTTCGGTGAACCACCATCATAGGCCTGGACAGAGTTGTTAAGATCCAGTGAAAACAGTGAAAACCATCATTCTACAAGTTCTCATTTCGGTTCTCCTTAGGGAGAAAATTTCTCTGTCTTGAAACCCAAAATCTTCCATTTTCGGAAATATCCACATCCAAAATTTTCGTTTCACATCTTCGTCTCGTATGAGGGAAGTCATTTTATACAGTTCACAATTACAATAATCAATTGTTCACAATTTTCATTGATTTATCATTTTGTTACATTTTTATTAATCTTACATTGTCGGTAGACACTGCCTCCTTTCATGTTTTTTTTTCTTTATTCCCATTTATTCAAAAAGTGCAGTTAGTAGTTAGTAATGAAGTTAGTAGTTAAAAAGTGTTAGTAATGCACATTTCATCAAGATGCTTTCACAGCAGTTCAAATCAGAAGGGTATGGAGAAAGCGATGCTACATGGGAATCCTTGGTTCCAATGAATCCTTTTAGTGTCATCACCCATTCTGCTTCCATTCTCGGTGATGCTAACTTAAAAACCGATCTTTCGTTTTTAAGTAGCCTAAGAGGAACTACCCCATTGGTTTAAATATGGTTCAGGATCCTGTCTGTGTCATCAAGCTCAAGCCAGCTCTAATTTGATTCGACACAGCGCTTTGGCTTGATTCCAGAAGCTATCTTCAGATTTTCGAAAAGATGGTCTAAATGAGCTAAAGAATAGTTCAGTATGTAGATGAGCCTGATCATGGCGAAAAGGGAGTTTCCACTTTCCCCCAATGTCTAGGCTCCATTCTGGAGAAATTCTGAAGTAAGGTTGGGCTTCACCACTTAAAACGATGCCTGGGGATGCAACCGCGTAGGAAACAAACCAATTGGGAAATTTCGACACGGGCCGCGATACAGATTTCACCAAAGTTCAGCGGCAACTCGAAGGTCCATCGATCAGTTTGTTAAGAGTCGGCGCCCTTTTGTTGTCGTATGTCTCAAGGAAAAACAAATTGAGCTAACTCGTCAATATTAGCCCGTACAAAGGGTCCAGCTATTACAAAATGATGGCTGTTAAACAGGGGATGTAGGGCGTCCGTGGGCTGCCGCGACACAACTTATTTGACGCAAAAGAGACTGCCCGGATGACTAGACAGGTATATTAGCTGGGTTGAGGGCGATACCACGCTGTAGATGTTTGAAATACACCAGCCTATGTTCATTTCTGCTCATTCTGGATGGATGGCGCCTTGAATAAGAGTAAGGGACAGGTAGACAGCTGGTTCCTTGACATGCTTCAGATTCGTAAGTCTGTGAACCATGTTTATGGCTCTACTTCGAAACTGAACAACTGACTGGGGGTCGTTCTTCATAACATGGATAGATCGAACAATACTTCGTCAAGAACGATTCGCGATTACCTCGATGCTGTATACTCTAGAGCCCATCTACTCGAATACACTCTAAGATGGTAAGACCCCTCCATCGGCACAACTTTTGACGACCTTTCCTGCCTGTTTGACGTACTGAAGGTAAGTCGCGAATCAATCCCGAGAAAAAGGTAATATTTGCCTGTGAACAACATATTTGATATGTCGATTTCTCGGCTTCAGGGCAGACACAGAATCTGTGTTCAGTGGCAGTGCCGTCTTGGTAATTCCTGTATTTCTGTGACAACCCTCCTCTGGTATAAGACTCTAGAGTCCCTGAGACGCGATAGGCGTGGCTGCGTACTCGAATCACACCCTTTAGTGAGATATATTAATTTTGGGACAGTTGTAACCTTTGTTCAACAAAGAACAAGAAGAAGTTGTCTCAAATTGAAGCATTTCACCAGTAACCCGTACTATGCCATGTTCAAGTGCTACGCCTACTCCTTCTCAGGGATAAGGAGTGTAGGAGGCTTCTATTTCGTCTGAGCCCTCGTCAATATTTCAGCTGGAGCCCTCACTTCCCTTATATAGGCACCGCATTTTTAAAGAGACGAAGTGACAACTTTGCTAACCCTCATAGTTTGACTGGAGGTACCTACCCCTTACCCAGCTACGAATGAGGGTTGTTGGGGTTGTACCTCTTTCTGAAGAACACAGGGAGGGAAGCCTGTCGAGTCGGAAATTTCCCTGGACGCCATGTTTGACCCTGCTGTCCAAGAAACAGAATTGTAGAAGTCGCCTTTTAGTTGACAGTTCAAATATCTAGTAACCCTGGAAAACCTTCGAAAGTTAACCAGTTCACAATAAGCGAATCAGGTGACCCCTACGTTCGCGAATAAACACATCAATAGTTACGGAGGTTACTTCGTGTTGCCATAAACGCTTACTATCTTTGTGATCCAGTTTAGAAGTAGTTTCTGGAGTAGATTAGCAAGTAAAGCAAACATAAACCGGTTCTTTTGTCCCACTGCTTGCCGGATCTTCACTGTGGAGTTCAGCTACTTCTCCTCTGTGCCCCTTGAAATGGCGCTACGTTGCGGCAAATCAGTTGCGAACTATATTACTAAGATTTCCTAACAATTAGTCCGGCTTTTTGCCTTAGCTACATTCGCATTTGCAGTGATGTTCGAACAAGTGACATAATGTTCGGTAAGAAGAAGTCAGCTAGCAATTGAGATTCTTTGGAAACTTGCCAATTCTCGCTCAAGGCAGTCAAAAGAATCATTCCCTGGTGGTCTCACAAGGAACTATGGACGGCCTCAGCCAGTTCTTCCTTTTTTTCGGCCTCAGAAGGGGCGCATCAGTGGAAAAGACGCAACAAATTTAATGTCTCTGGTCATTCAGCTATCGAGGAGTATTTCAAACGTGTCAGAAGATTTGTTACGTGAAGAAAGTACACGACCCCAGTTTTTCGTGCGTGATGTTAGAATGCAACTCAAAATTATATGAAATACAAGAAACATGTGCCTCCGAAATCTAGAAGCATTTTTAATTCTTTAGATTTTTCGGTCTCAGAAAGGCCGTTTTTTAAACTGCAAAAATTTCACGCGATCTATGGTGTGAAAAAATTGGAACGACAGACGACGCTACTATCACTGCTTTTCATAAAGTTTTCCAGTTTATCAAGTTATTATCCCACTCCTTAGTATTCATAATTTAATTTTTTATCAAATTCGTTATTATTTTTCTTTGTTTGTTTTAGTATTTCATAATATTGGAACTGAAAGTTCCCAACTATAATGTTACCTTTACCATGTTGCATTGAATGCTTACCTGTCTACGAATTCTGTCCACCCCACCAACGCGAGCTTTTGAGAGTTCTGTCCATGTCATATCGGCCATGACGCGAAACTCGTCCGAATCGATACGCAGCTGAAAACAGTACTTTCCGCTGTTTGATAGAAAACTAATTTATTGAGGCTGGATAGTTACTAGTAATTCTTATAAAGTACTGAGAAAGCAGTCGAAGAGTTGCCTAGCCCTTAGGTGAACCAGCTATTGATGGAAGAATGCAGATCGAATAGGTTTTCCGATGTTTCTACCACATTCTGGGTCTAAGATCCCTGAGGGGTGTCTCTCATTTAGCTGTAACTCTTTTTCAACCCACTGCAGAGTACAACATGGTTGGCACAATCTCTTAGGTTACATCAGATTTGAGCAAGGGAGACAGGGGCTGTATCTCGGCTCGAAATAATTCCTTCCAAACTGCTCCGGATTGCGGGGTGTCAAAAAAAGAAATTTTTCTATTTGTTGACTTTTCCCGTTCAACGCAACTATCCCCACCTTCCCGCTCGCTTCCTTCGGGCACAGAAGCTTTTTCGGTAAAACAAGTGAATATTTCCTGAAAATAGCAAAGGGTTTGGAAGATTGTAGTCAGACGGTAGGTGTATTATGAAGTGGGAACCCGAAGAGGACATACTGGGGTGGGAGGGGAAGGCGGTGGGAAGTACTGACACCTCTTTCTATCTTAACCCATGCTATATCCTTTTTATTGTCAGCCCTTGTACCTGACCTGTCCACGGGCTTCTGTAACAGCATCGAGACGGATGAAACGGCGGTGTCAGTGCTCCCTTCACCCCACCAATTGTCCCCTTCAAAGACGTACCCCATTACTGTTCTCGCTGAGTCCTTCGAACATATTTTCTCAATTATTCCGGATTGAAAAATATCACAATATATACGATTACACGGCGCGCTTCAAAAAGCAGGATAAAATCACCTACCTGATCATTGATATTTTGAATTTTCATCACCAATGCTGGAACGTAGAATAGGCAGACAAACAGCGCTCCAGTGGAACATGCGCAGGCCATAAGGCCAGCGTTTCGAGCGGAGAACATCTGAACACAGGCTAGTTGAGATGCGAAGTCATTAAGGCAGACGTATAAAAACGATAAGTCATCCAACATTGATCAATTGCATTTCAGCATATGCCTCACTTAAAGCCTTAGGATAGCAGATAGTGATTTGGCCCTACATGATGATGCGTGAAGGTCTGTTAAGGAACAAATCAGCCCTTTTGTTGGATCAGGCCACTGCACCATCAGGGACACTGGCCGTGGTGTCCTGAGCGAGATGAGACCTGGGATTTCTGTGTGCGCGATAAGCAGCGTTACACTGGGAAATTTGCGCAGCGGTCGCGCCACAGTTGGAGTCGCGCGCGCGATATCCGCGCCAAGATCTGAATGGTTCAATAGGAAAGATAGTACAGTATGGAGAATGGTTGGGGAAAAATCAGAATCTCGTTGCGCGCCGCTATCACGGACGTGCTTCCTAGCAAAGATAAAAACGACTGGCCGTACTGAAACTCAAGGCTCATGACCACGACTTCGGGAAGTCTTCCATCAGCCAGTATACTGAGGAAAAGAGAGCCGAAAGCCAGCATGACTTCACCGTAAGCACTATGTTGGCAGATAGAGCGCTGGCGTTTTTGGAAACCATAGAGCCATTAGTTCCTGCACAATTAATAGTCGAAACGGTGAGCTACTTCTGAAGAAGGCCTAAGTCAAGGCAGGAATGCCAACAAAGTACACTTTGGAGAACAGAGAGGCTGTTGAAGTGGTAGGATACCGTCTCTGAACTGCACAGGCCACACCTTCGTTTGCCTCCAGCCACACCGATCGTATAATAAGAAGCGAGAGATCAGTTTTCTGACGAAGATCTTGTCATTCAGCCGCGTCAAACACGTAATTCCCTGCTGTGAAGGCCAATCTCCAAGTGAAACTCAGCGAGGTCCCGTTCGTTGACCTTGACGTCGTTTTGGCAGCCCATCATATAGCCGGTTTGCGGGAAAGTGCGAGCAACGAGTGCAAGAAGTAAGTGGCAGAAACTCATCGTAGAAGGCATAGTTGATAGTTCCATCCTTTCATACCCCGCCATTTTTCTTCATCTTCAAGGACTGGGTTAGTCTGTTCGGGAGGTTCTTCTTGTAATTAATAGCCTTCTAGGAACGTCGTCAAAAGAGGAACTTGTAAAGTGAGCTGTATTTTCTGAGAGTTCGGCTCAGAGAATAGCAGTTGCACAAACGAAGTACATTTGAAGGGCCATCTGTAGGTGATATATGCTATGACAAGGCCACATTCCTGGCTGATTTTATTGTTGGAGTCTTTGGAATCATTGCTCTTGCCTCATTGCTCCCCTTGATGTGCCATTTAGAGTCCGCCAGTTATGGGGGAAGGAGGTAGGTGGAGTGGTGGCCTAGAAGTAGCAGAGCTTATCGCAAAACCGGCCTAGAGGGTAAATTCAATCCTATGGCTCCTAGCCCTAAGCCACCTATCCTACCCTTCAGATGACAGCGAATTTGTATCAGATTTGTTTGAAAGCATAAATTAGTCATCCGTTTCAACTCGAATATGACATCCCCATGCGACATTGAAAAGAACACTGGATGACCCTTTCCCTCGCAGTCCATTTGTATAGGACCAATATTCTGAGTGGAATTGGTATTCGTTCCTCATTTCAGAAAGGGATAATCGGGCCAGCAAAACCGCCATTTTTTTGAATGACTTAATAAGAGAGAAAAATTCCAACTCTTGTGTAATACCAAATCGTTTCCATTGAGGGTGTCGCGTTTCACAATCCTCAATCTTCCGAAGCAATTGTGTAGATGTGCATGTTTTATTGGAAATTGCAAGACGCCGATCAGAAACGGCTATTCTCTTGTTCCTATTTTATGCCGAGGCTTAATGCGGTTTCATGTCAAAAACCGAGAATAAACAGAAAGGTTTTCGTCTTCTGAATGTGATTCATCCCGGCTTTTTCCAGGAAGGGTAGCGCGAAGCTGCAGTGTTTCAGTCGTGGTCAAGAACCTCAAGATATATTGATAAAATGATGAATATGGTTTTATCAAAAGTCTGGTATGTCGCATGATACCCTTTCAAGAACATGTGGAACTACTGGCGCACATCGTTTTGTTCAAATCACATCGATCGGGAAGTCACTCCCTCATCGGGAATCACTCCCCCTTTACTTAGAGACTCGACAAAACTACTGGGCAGTTGATAGCAAATGTCTAGCCCCACTTCCTACAGCTGGAAAACTTTTGGAAAATCTGGTGCGGTAGCGGGTAGGTTATGAGAGGTGAATCCTGGCCACAATTTACCCTCCCCCCTTTTTTGAGGGTTCTGATGAGAAATCCTTCAGTCTGTTCCATTTCATTCCAGGAACATTTAAACTAGGTTCAAATGGAGAAGACCGCGTGATGTAATCAAGATGTCACTGTTCTAATGACATTCCCCGTCGTTGGGAAGATAGGACCTTACACCGGGAGCATGGGTTATGGGCCACTTTTTTATGGGCTTTTATAGGTAACAAGTTCTGATCCTTTTTCCTCTGCGCACTGAGAGGGGGCAGGCGACATGCAAGAGGAAGGATTTCTGTATAAAAGGTAGAGGAGCTGTAATACCCTTTTAGGAGATCCTTAGGTTTCAGGTCGCTCTATAAGCCTTAGATTCTTGAATCATAGAGAAAAAAGCGCTCGAGAGTGTTCACAAACCAGAGGAGAGACTAAATAAGCGAGAGCCTCAAATTCTGTGGAGAAGAGGAAGGAAGATGAGGCGAAGGAGGTGGAGGTGTGGTGACAGTCCAGGTAGGCGATTTGGCCTATATATAAGCGGTCGAGCGAGTGTGACGCGATCTGGCGTGAAACCTGTCCTCACTTACCCGAAAGTGGCCTAAAAGGCTGTGCACCATCACATTGGCGCGCCCCGAAAAAGTCGCCAACGAAACGTGGCGACGAGATGTACTCATTCCATTTATGGGGTTGAATAATCATCACATGGAATAATTCAGCGTGACCGCAATGATTAAACACTTTTCAGTTTCACTGCAGTTGTCATGACAGATGCCAGCGCAGATAACAGATTGTGGGCTGTGCCGAGCGTTTTCGGTTCATTTCTGTTCTATCACGGAGATGAATGCTCTACAGGGTACAGCATCCTGATGTGTGAGTAGGTACGATCCCCCCTCCCCACATAAATGGGGGCCCCGGTACGATTCCTTCCCCAACACCTACCTACCACTTCCCACATTTTCCAGTTTTTTATCCAAAAACTTTCCGTCGAGTGAGAGAGAGGGGGTATACAGGCTTAATAA